CAAGCGTTCACTACCGCACTTCGTGTGGAGCTAATCACTACAGCTCCCCTGCCAACTGTTTATAGGTTGTTTGTATCGGTCTGGAGAATTCGAATCCTGCCTGTGTTTAACGGGGGATACGTCAGGGTTCAGTCTGGAAACTTGTAGGAGTCTAAGCCGTGGGTGTGCTCAGAACACCACAATTATCACGCCCAGTTCCGTAGGAGTTGTCTATTGTGTACAGGAACTCAATGGTGGTTTGAAGCCCGGACGTGCGGCAGGCACCGGGCCCTGGGCGCGCGCGTCTCTCTGTTCGTGTGTAAGTGAGTAAACGTCATGCGAGAGTGAGTCACTGGACGCCTGATCAACTACTTCGCCAATAGGCGTCTACGGCACCTGTGATTGGCTGGCCCAGAGTGAGGTAGAGTAGCGAAGTCACGTGCGCTTTGCGCCTTAGCGCCAGCACTACAGACTTGTGTGAAGTACGTAGGCAACTGGATAACCGAATGAAGGCAGAATAAACTCAAAACAGTTTTATATCAATCCGCCCGCAGTCACAGTCATCTGCCCGCTCCACTGAAAGAAGTTGACCGACTTTGGCCTGGCCTAGGGCTGCCTATTCCTGATCCCGAGTATCCATAAGAAACATGGTTGTTTCAGAAGAAGAAGACGATTCGAGCACTGAGACAACAATTTTATTTGCCTGACGTTTCGAGATTCGTCGCGGATTCTTCATCAGAGACACGAGCAGAAAGCAATAGCAAAATCCCGTTTCTGCTATTGTTTTGCTGCTCATGTTTGTTTCAGGAAGTCGATAGATCTGTGCGCGCCAAAGCTGCGAGGTACTGATGAACCTCAGTATGATAAATTGCCTATGGATACTCTGCAAGATTTCGACTGTGGAATATTGGGAACATGTAAGAGCATATGATTGTGTTTCTGGTTAGATATGGTTATCAGGGTTATGACTGGCCGACTATAAACAAATAAGCCCGAAACAGTTCTTTGTTAATCTACCTGCACAGTCTTTTATCTATCCCCCAGATATACCTTTCTAATCTTGAAGAACACCAATTACCATATTCTTTCAATACAAGCGAACATACGAGTCGCAGGATGTAATTGAGGAGACAACTCCATCGCTAGGACAATACTTTCGTTCGCCTGACGTTTCGATAACCATCCCGGATTCATCATCAGATATATAATCAAGCGCAGTAGCAGATACAGGTAGTGTGTGCACAAGAGTTTTGCCGTATAAGACAGTTAAAATTTAAACGTATGCAAAAAATTGATAACTGTTCATTGTGAGTGTTGATTCGCTACTTCGTGCGTAGGATGACGTGGTGGCCTGTCCGTTCTCCGGTTGGCGACTTGCTTTGATCAAATTGAGTCTCAGCACCGAATATCTATTGGGCAAATCGCTGCACTTGTTTATGGATTGAGGGCCCGTGAACTATGAATCAAGTAATACTCGGCTCAGCCGATTGTCACCTCTTGCGAGAATTTCAGTCTCATCGAATTTGAATGTGCGGCCGGGTCTCGTCGAATGGGCTGCAACTTGAGAATTGGCAGTATTTCGCCACAATGCTGCCGCGTGTTCGGCAATTCTCGTCTTGAGAAGTCTGCCAGTTTCTTCGGCATAGTGGCTTTGCCTGCAACTTGACCACACCCTGTAGACCACTCTAGATGTTTCTTGCCGTGGCAGTGGGTCTTCCGGTCTCATGATCTGACGCCTTATGGTTGCTTTTGGTCTGTGTGTGACTCCGACTCCAATTGGTGCGAGAAGGTAGCCGACGGCCTCACAGACGTTTCTGACGTATGGGATCGCTCGCCAAATCTTGGTGTCGGCACAATTTTGTTGCCCATCTCGTTTGCGCAAGCACCGGTTGACGAAGTTGTGCAGGTAGCCATCTTCTTGAACACTCGTTGAAGGTATTGTACCCCGGCAACTTTATCTTCTGGTTTGCTGCAGTGCGTCTCAACACGCTGATAGAGCGTCCTTACGCAACTGCGTTTG